AACCCTTTGTTTCCTTATAATCATCTCATACATCCATATGCGCATTCATTCCATACGCCAGTGCCTCCCGAACGATTCGGGCCCTGAACCGCCCGGGGGCTCGAGAACTAAGCATCACACGTGCAGCGAAATGCATCACAACGCTCCGTGTTGCGTCACGAAGCGGCGGTTGCCTCATTCAACATGAGCAACCAACAGAGCCAGGGGAGAAAATCGTAGATGAGCCCTGTGTGGCCCTCACCCGGTCGGCAGACTAGGTCATCTCAACCTTCTCGTTCGATCCTGAACCTCTCGCCAAGCCCACAGAATCTCCATCGAGGGGAGACCATTAGACCACCTGGGTCAATCTCCGGAACGACCCAGGCATTTACCAGGTAGCAGGTAAAGGAGTAGTGGAATGCCACAAGAGGGCTATGCCGACCCCGCCATGAACGACGGACCCGGATTTCGCTCGATCACACCCGTTAGCGAACTCACCGAGCGCGTCACTCGAGCCCGAGCGATCGGGACAAGCGACAAAACTCAGCCCCTCTGGTTGTGAGGAATCGAGGATGGGGTAACACACATAACTCACACCAACCCCTACTAAAGCCCAGCAAGGCTCGGGGGCTCAAGACACAAAAAGCCTGGGTCTGTGACCCCGATCTCGCCCCATCCGGCTACGCTTTTGACTGTGCTCCAGAAACACCTGGGTCTGCGACCCCAATCTCACCCCATCTGGCTACGCTTCTGACTGTGCTCCAAGGACACCTAGGTTTGCGACCCTGATCTCACCCCATCCGGCTATGCTTCCAACTGCACTCCAAAGACACCTGGGTCTGCGACCCCGATCTCGCCCCATCCGGCTACGCTTCCGACTATGCTCCAAAGACACCTGGGTCTGCGACCCCGATCTCGCCCCATCCGGCTACACTTCCAACTACGCTCCAAAGACACCTGGGTCTGCGACCCCGATCTCGCCCCATCCGGCTACGCTTCTGACATGCGCTCCAAAGACACCTGGGTCTGCAACCCTGATCTTGCCCCATCCGACTATGCTTCCAACTGCGCTCCAAGCACCTAGGTCTGCGACCCCGATCTCGCCCCTGATTCCGACTCACCCGATCCCACGGCGCGCACCGACACAAGGATCAGTGAGCACTGTCTCGTCCAAACTAACTACCTCACCCGATCCCACGGCGCGCACCGACGCCAGGATCAGTGAACTCTGTCTCGTCCAAACTAACTACCTCACCCGATCCCACGGCGCGCACCGACGCCAAGATCCGCGAACTCCCTCTCACCCGATCTCTTGAGCGACTAAAACGCCTCGGCTGCACAACGACGCCCTGGTTGACAAAACTCTGTCTCAAAACTAAAAAACACGCACACACACCCGCTAACCGAACATCCCCCAAATGGTTCTACCCGAACCACCCGGGGGCTCAGGGGCTACACCCGCGGGTGCGCTTTCACGCACCTTCCCACGAAAAAGCGAAACCTCCCCATCGACAACCTGACAAAAAACCCCGGACGGTTCTTTGACCGCCCGGGGGCTACACCCGGGCTACACCGCGCTCGCGCGCGCGCACTCGCCGTCAAAAACAAAAATCCCTCGGACGATTCTGCCCGAATCGCCCGAGGGCTCGGGGGCTCCTATCGGGTTCATAGACCCGGGGTCCCTCGGGGACCGGCTTCCACGCCAAGGCTCGACCCAAGCAGGCAGCACACAACTCGTGGGCCGGCCCAAGAGTCTAAAACAACAGGCCGGAGGGGCGGTCCAGTCACCGACCAGAAGGTCTGTTCGAAGAGGAATGGCGCCCGCTTGTCAACTACTTTGGCCCACCTCTCCGACCGGAGCGCTCGCTTCGAACTCCAGCCACCTCCAGACGGCCTCTCCGGTCGGAAGGCCTGGCCATGCACTACTTCCGACCCCCGACCCCGCGTCGTCGACCGGGGAGCACATAAACCCTGCTCACCGCTCTTCTCCGACTAGCGCGACCAGAGCCGTCTGGGGCCATCCGACCGGGGACGCCCGCTCGGAAGGAGCCAGGGACGAATGGAGAAAGCAAGCCAGGGCGTGTAAGTCAAACCACGATGCCAGGTACCATACCCTACACACCTGCAGGAATAGTACTCTGCAACCGCCCTAACACAAACAGTATTGTAGGCGCCAGCATTTTCCTCTACAGTATTGTAGGCGCCGCTAAAACTCCCATACGGTAAGGCCCCCCACATGCCCTCGGGCATCGATAGTGTTGTGGGCGCTGGGATTTACCGTATGGGGTGAACGTGGTGACACTCCTCACATGCCTCTGGGCATCAAACATTATCTACAGGTATCGACGTCTACCATTCCTGAAGAAGGCAAACGCAACCTCCCACATGTATCTGACATTCTACAGTAACATCTACAGTGTTGTAGGCGCCTACCATTATCTTGTACCCGCCAGCATGGGCAACAAAGCTCAGTAGCATGCGTACCCTCACTTGTAAAGCCATCCCCTTTATCTATAAAAGGGGATGCGCTCCCTCCAACAAAGGAGATGCTTTTTTTCTCTCTGAGGCCCCCTTTGAAGAGCCTTTCTCAGTTTCATTAGATCAACCAAGTTCTCTAGTCCACAACCACAGAACCGCCAGGTTCGGACCTCAAGCACACGTTTGAACACTTAGCTCATAGCGTAGCTCCTGTCGCTCTCGGCCCTTCCGACCGGACCTCTTGTATACCCCATCTTTCTCCTTCTCGTTTGTAACCCCACTGCAAACTTCGAGCACCTAGGCTCAGGAATAAAATCGCTGACCGACCCAAACTGGATGTAGAGCACGTTGCCTGAACCAGTATAAACCATGTATCATTGAGTGCTAGGTCACATTCAATCACAACGTACGGCAAAACTACAAATATTTACTATTTGGTCACGTTCTGCACCAACAGTAATTATAACTGATTTTCAATTTGTGGGGCGCATTTGCACCCCCTAATCACAATACAGCTTCGCCCCTAGGGCCAAATGATCTTAATTAACATCAAGAGGATATTAGTATTTAAGCCTTTTTTTTTTACTTCAAGTGAATTCAAAACTAGGTGCCATATGACTACCTTTGGTCTGAAAGAAAGATTTTTAGAACAAAGGTGTATGAGTTATCTCATTATGGTGTGTTATAGTTTAGCTATAGGTGAGTGCTGAACCAACCACGAGCTTTAATTACCATGTTATAGATTAACTTCATAAGATAGTATATGTGTTTCTGTTTTCCACTTGGCACAGTCTATGGCTCCAATGCAGCCGGCGTGGACTTGCATTGGCTCCAAGTTGATGTAATGTAACGCTTTCTTTCAGGGGTCAGCGGCGCGGGTGTCGTCTGTGGTGGTTGACGATGCCAGTGGTCGGGTTCCATAACTGCCTGTCATGTGCATCTGTCACGTCCCTTTGGACTTCCTTGTGCCATGAGATCGAGTTCTGCCGAGAGATACCAGATATTCAGGATGCAAGCGGCGCAAAACAGGCCCACTGGCTGAGGCGGTCCAGCCTGCTAGCAAATGCGGGACGCTCTCAGGACCCGCAAACTCCTGCGACTTCTTCGCGTGCCGCGTGCGACTCGTCTCCGTCGCCGCCACCTCCGCTAGGTCACGCGGCTGCTCAACGCCGCACGCAACAGCGCTCCCCCACGCATTTGACAGCTCAACGCCGTGCGCAACAGCGCTCTTCAACGGCCGCTCCACCCGGCTGGCCGGCTCCATGGCCGAGGTGCCCGCCGTGGCGCCGATGCCGCTCCGGCCGCCGAGGCTCCCGTCGCCAAGGCCCGTCGCCAAGGGAAGGGAAGGGCTATTTAATTTATTCGCGTAGTGTATACTATAGCCTGCAGTTACCTTGCTGTTAACTTGCCTTAATTAATCTACTCCCACTACTCAGCCTGCAGTCTACTATGTAACAGAAATGATTCACCAATTAAGGACAATCCTTGCTTATATTTATAAATGATATGATTACGGTTTCTTATACACTGAATGAATAAGAAATGCAGCATCTCTCTGCATGTTTCTCTGAATAAGAAGCAGCTGGTTCAGTTACTCAACATGTTTCTCTGAATTTCTTTTAACTTTGGTAAAATTACTATGTTCAGTGTATATTAATTTTTTTCCCCTCCTGTACTGCAGCCCAGCATGTCAAATGTTCCGTCACAGTCTCAACTACACGAAGCTGGGTGCTCATCGGCGACCTCCCCTTTGATCGCCTCTTCCGGAACAAAGCGCAAAAGGCCCAGTGGTAAATCAACAGAAGCCTTGGGCAACCAAGCGGTTCAAGCCTCCAATGGCAAGGAAGCTGAACTCTCCTGTGGTGACGAGGTCCCCAATGATGAGACTACTAGTGTCTCCATTGGTTGTGCGGCCAAGGTCACCGTCACTTGGCCTGCAGAGGTCACCGTCACGGAGCCCGCGGAGGTCACCGGCACGCAGCCCGCGGAGTGGAGCTGCTCATTCAGGCTCTCATGACCACGGTAACTATGTACCTCAACTTTTTGTCTGGATGGTTTCTATTTGAGACTGTAATGAACCTGAAACATTGATCTTCATTGCACAAAAAAACCCCTGCGGATCCTGCTAGGCCGTGCAGGTTTGGCCACTAGGCCTAGTGCAGCAAGCGGACACCCGCAATGCCTGAAAATTGCGTTTGCGGCAAGGTGCGGCGGCTTGCAGGTGTCTGCAGACCGGCCCACTTGCATGGTTCCTTTAACTGCGCAAGGCAAGTGCCGAAACTAACCGTAGTTATTAGCCAGTAGGATTCTGAACGAAACATGTGGAGTGCACGTTCTCGGAAATCATATACATGTATAGTGTGTAGTAAGTATATATCTACAACGTTGAAAGAAATTAAGTGCAGGCCTTGAGGACCTCCCACCTTTCTACTTCTTTTTAATAAAATACGTGTCGAAAAAAAAAAGACCTCCCACCCTTGCCATTTGACCGAACCGTAAGAAATGGCGATGGGAAGATCCAAGCACTCTGCTGCTTGCAGGTTTTAGTAGTAGAAATTCTGTGTTGTGGTGTAGGTCTGTCCGAACTGCCACCACCCAGCAGGCACCACATTCCAGAACTGAATGTACTGCCCGCCGGTACTGGTAACGGCGAAGCTGAGCCCCTGGCCGACGAGCCCAGCGAGCGCCTGCCAGTTGGCGCCCCAGTTCCTGGACATCTGGATCCACCCCGTCTTGTCGCCCTTCACCCAGGCGGCGCCCACGGAACCACTGCCCGCGAGGTTCTGGATGTTGACGAGCAGAAAATATTGGGAGCCGGCGATGCTGAAGCGCACGCCGCCGGTGCGCGAGCACTGGACCTGCTGGTACAGGACCGGGATGACGCCGGCACTGTAGACGCCGATATTCTCCCATGCCGGCTGCGACATATCGAAGTGGGGCGCCCTGGGCCGCACCACCCGCCGTTGGGCAGCGCGTAGTTGGCCGGGCACAGGTTGGTGGCGGAGACCGTGATGGAGTTGCCGGGCTTGCAGGACTTACCGCCCGGACGTGACGTGTCGCAGGTGATGAGGTAGCACTGCCCGCACGACGCGCCGTCGTTGAACAGCGTTGAGCTCAGCGCCGCGTTGTTGACGCCGTACCCGGCGTTGTACAGGTTGTCGTACCCGCACGCGCCACCTGCATTGGTACGTGCATGCGCGCGGTTAGCAAAATGTGCGTAGCTCTTGCGGCAAAATGGATGCAATGTATAATTATTAAGAGCTTGCTTACCCATGGTGCCGGAGCCGTCGGGTCCGCCGTAGAACGTGGCGGTGCCGGAAGACCAGCCCGCGGCGGCGAGCGCTAGGCACGCTGAGAAGGCTACGCACAAAATCAGGGGCCTCTTCATTTTCACGACTACGATCGAGGTGGATTGGCAATGGAGGGATCAACCGTACGTGTTCTGGACTTATGCGATGAGATGGGATGCATGGAGTTGGCGCAGGCCAGTGCTTAAATAGTGGATGATCTAGGTAGCTGTGAAGGGGCAAACCGGAGGAAAGAGAGCGACAACTCACACGATAGGTACGGTGGGGCCATGGGGATATCGATCCATTAGGGAATGATGGTCGTGCCTTGCGCGCGTCAGAGTACATAGCCAGAACAGAGGAAATTCGGCCGTGTTCCATCGAAGCAAAAGCACATGCATGCAGTTGCAGACGCCTCTTGCACGACGATACTAGCTAAGCTCCAAGGCTTGACTTTGGAGATGGAATTAATCGTGGACAATTGCTTTAATTTAATTTATCTGCGTTTTCATATGCTAATGATTAGCCTATATAATATATAGGTTAGCAACGAACTATCAACTAACCCGAATTCGTTCCACATTAGTTCGTTGAAACTCTGATCAACATCGCAACCGCTCTGGAACATCAATTTGTTTCGTTGGTGGCTACCGAGGAGATGTGTCACCGTCACCGATACATGCATCATGTTGTAAGTTGTAACTACCTTAACCCATCAGTCCACGCCGAGCCGTTACTCCATCCGTTCAGAAATGATAAGCTCATTTTGATCAAACAAAATAGATTGTGACCCATCATTTATCTTACAATATATGTCTATATTGCTAAAAAAATTGATGTTATCTTAAAGGCACTACGAACACAAATCTACCGATACAAGTTTTAAGTCCTAAACTCATATATAATTTGATTAATTGTTGATCCAACTGTACAAAACTTGACTTCTACCTGATCAAAGGTATATTAATTTGTCATTCTGAACGGGAGTAACTTGCAGGAGCTAATTATTGTTATCTAGCGAGTTTTGCCCATTGGAGTTGCTTCTTAATCTATCCGGTAAATAAACAATTTAGGGTTTCGAGTCCATGCAGGTCATGACCTAGTAATGAATGTTCCAGTACTCTATGAGAAATAGTAATTTATTTGGGTTGACTCATACTTGTCTATGTAATCTACCGCTATTGACAAATTCAGCTAAGCTAGCTTAGATAGACCCAGATGATGAGTTAGTTAGTTAGGGCGTTGCTTCATCATCTTGGATGAATAGAACCAGAAGAATATATGGGTTGTTGAATCAATCATTGAAATGTGCAAGACCATGCTTGGATGATGTTTTGCTACGATCATGTGCTTTTGTGATCATTTGATTGAATTCCATCCCATCATGAAGGCAATTGGGAGTTAGCGCTTCAGAAAATGGTCGTACCTAAGAACATCATTAATAGCCGTACGTAGAATACTTGTTGGAGTTCTCTTCCGGTGCTGTAGGTTGTTGATTTAGCTGACGCGGAACCAATTTTGTGCTTCATTTCCCAAGTTATTTTAACCGATAAGACCATGTGCTTATATTATTATTTTTCCACATATATAGTAGCTCAAGATAGATCAAGGTAGGTATAGCAGACAGTCTTCCATAGCGCGTAATACACAGTTGTGCTTTTCATGCCTTAAAAAAGAGAGGTAAGATTAAAGTGCAGTGGTCTAATTTTGCAAATACATTAGAAGGGCTGCTTTATAGATTTTGGAGATATTGATTCAATTAACATCTAGCTACAAGACAAAAACTAGGGATCCATCTCAATTAATCAACTTTTTTGTTACTTTTGCTCATAAGACACATCACACTACATTCACATATTTTTAATAAAGATTAGATCAGTATTCTCTTAAGTGTCATTGTTGTATGTGAAAATCTTTGTGACAATTTGCTTTGCAATTTTAGAGTTTAGTATTACTAATAACTTATTCCACTACAATTCTACAAAGATATTAAAATTACTGATTATGTCAATTCCAACCCAAGAAGACAGTTTATATTAGTAGTTCGGAACCAAAACCATGAACAAATGTGTAATATATGAATTCAAGTATTTGTCTTAAGTGGTGATGAACCTTTGATGTAGCACGCATATGTCTCTTTTAACATATATACCCACAAGGGTGTATCTAGTAGGGAAGCTCCTTCCATGTTAACATCTAGAAAAAAACATCATACAAGCAGAGTGTGTCAAGTCACATGCAAAATATGGGTAATTTTCTTTTTGCATAACTCCTCATCTTTTCCAATAAAAGGGCTTCAAGAAAATGAACAAGCTGTGGCAACATAGTGATAGGATTTTGCGTATATCAACATGGTGTAGTAACATGTGTTATGGTGATTTTGTTATACATGTGTAAGAAACTTGGACCCTGGTAATGGTTGATTGACAACATATATAACTATTAGGACTAACAATGTTGGCTAGTATACAAGGTACGGTACTTAGGGTTTGTTTGGATCCTAGGGCTACAAATTATCCCATCTTGTAAAAATGAATTAAACATGAGCTAATTATGGGCTAATAATAGGGCTAATGGACTCTAACCACCAATTAACCACTATTAGCTCTTATTAGCCCAGAATTAGCCCACACTTATCCTTTCTAATTTGTATGAAAAAATGGGCTAATTATTAGCCTCCTGACCCAAACACCCCCTTAGTCTTCTGGATGCAAGAGATGGACTTGAGCAAGGCTACCATGGAGATTGAGGAATCAACAACTCCAATGAAGATCAAAGATAAGCATTGAAGATCCTAGGCAGGTAAGAAGCTCAAGACATCATATAAGTGAAGCCATGACAAAAGGAGGCAAAGATTTCAACTCAGATGGGCACATGATAAAGCACTAGACAAAGGCAACGAAACTCTTGCTAGTGCTCGCTGGAGATTCACGGTGGGAATAATCAAAGGTAGTGAAGAAAGGCCCAGATGTATACTTCCAGTATGGTCACTAGAGAAGTGCACTGGAGTTACAATCTAGAGGTAGTGTTGGACCACAATGGAGAGCTAAAGAGCATAGGCTCTCTAGTGCAAGCACTAGAGAATGCACCGAAGTTATGAGGTGCAACAAGGAGGTCCCAATCCCCTATACCCAATATGCACTAGATTTATCCGATGGTATCACCATAGAAACCACTTGATAACGTTGTTCCAATGGCTTATCGGCTAGCTGACGTGGTAGGGCAGCAGACTTCTCTCTAGTGTGGTCACCATAGCACGTATCCAATGCACACTCCATTCGAAGTCCCAGCTGCAACAATAATGTAGAAATAGCTTCATAGCTCAGTGATATAGTCACCACCCTCCTATCGATAGGTCCTAGGCTCGAGCGCCCGAGGTGTAGTTTTATTATTCTTTCTTTTTCTTCATGTGTAGCCATTGCCAAATGGGCCACATTGGAGACAACCAAGCCCATGTCAATGGCCCACTTCGAATAGTGGGCTGAATACATGGAGAAAATAATGTAAAAAGCATATGGAACCCAATCGACTAGGTGGTAGTAGGACTTTTATAATGAAAACAAAAACTTATAGGCATGCTTGAACTCTAGACTTGACTAAAAGAATCGAATTAAACTGAAATATTTGACTGGTATGATGTTCTTTTAGACCTCACTAGTCAGGCGAGATGTAGGATGTTGTCTTGTATTTGAGATTGTAGGTGTCTTTATCAGAAGTTAGGGTGCAAAATGTGGTAGAGTGCTTGATCATTTTTCACAGTATATATAGCTAGGATGATTTTAATAATTATTCAGGCTAGTCTAGTTTGACGAATCACTACGGGATACAGGAGGTTTGCCGAGTGCCAGCCCCAAAAACACTCGGCAAACGACACTCGGCGTAGGTTTTAACGACAAAGAGCTGTTTGCCGACTGTCAATCGTCGGGCACTCGCCAAAGACTATGCCGAGTGCCAAAAAAACACTTGGCAAATATTTTTTGGAAAAAATTAAAAAAAAACAAGTCGCCACCGACACCACCACGTTGTCGCCGCCGCCACCACAGCCACCGCCACCACCACCAAAGCCGCCGCCGCCACCACCACTCCCCGCCACCGCCGCCGCCGCCACCACCACCACCACCACCACCACACCACGCCGCCCGCCGCCTGATCCGACCGCCACCGGCCAGATCCAAGAGAGGGAGGGCCGGATACGACCGAGAGAAGAAGAAGGGAGGGAGGGCCCCCGCCAGATCCGTTGCCACCCGCCGGATCCGAGAGAGGAGGGTCGGATCTGGCCAGTGAAGAAGAAGGGGAGGGAGGGAGGGCACCATGGGGGGAGAAGGGAGGGAGGGACGCCTGCCGGGAAGAAGAACGGGGGGGGGAGGGGGGGCGCCAAGGTGGTAGGGAGAGGAGGGGTTTGGGGCCGGGAGGAGGGGCGCTGGGTAAGAAGGAGGGGAGGGAGCGCCCGGGGAAGAAGAAGGGGAGGGGAGGGCGGGCGCCCGCCAGGAAGAAGAAGGAGAGGAGGGGCTGGGGCCGGGGGAGGAGCGCCAAGAAGAAGGGCGGGTGCTTGGGAGGAGCGCAACCAGCTTAATTAAGTAGGATTTTGTCCTTTGCCGAGTGTCCTAGATCTAGGCACTCGGCAAAGGTTTTTTTTTCATTTTTTTCTTCTCATTCTTTTTCAGAATTTTTTTTATTTCTTTGCCGATTGCAAAAAAGAAAACATTGGGCAAACACCCTGTTTGCCGAGTGTTTTTTTACACTCGGCAAACCCCCTCTTTGCCGAGTGTTTTTTTTTCCTGAGTGTTTTTAGCGCAGCACTCGGCAAAGAACTTGCTCGCCGAGTGTCCGAGGGAATACACTCGGCAAACATAAAAACACTAGGCAAATTGAACCAACCAATGCAAATTCTCGCTTGTGATCCGCCGTTGCTCGATCTTCAACCACAGCACATGCACACCGAACAAGGGTTTCCGTATGTCAACAATAATGTGGAAGGAACTTTTTGGGTTAGTTGCTGGTCCATTGCCGTGCGAATCTTCTTGACGGAGACGGAGGCAGCTAACTCGATCAGACTAATCAACATATCAAATTAAACAGCTGATTCAGGCCAGCATCCATG